AATTCCCCAAACGTTAAGCTTTTGTCCTGCATAACCAGAATTACCATTGTCAAAACTACATAGATAAACCCCAGACTACAGAATACCCGCGATCTTTCCACTCTTCCTGTTGGAATTCAGTCTTTCCTGTCACTGAGTTGAATCCAAGGTCCTACACTGAATTTATGTTTGGCCCCCTTAGACCTCTCCAGTCTGTGACAGTCTGTGCTTGTCTCTTATGACCTTGACACTTGGGAGGACTGGGTGGTGATTTTGCAGGAAATTCTTCAGTGTGGGTTGGCCTGAAGTCTTCTTGTGCTTTAATGAAGAGTCTGCAAAAATGATGTTGGGCCACTGTGTGGGTGACACAGGGTGACAATATGTCTTCATATTGTTGTTAAGTTTGACCACCTGGTTCAAGTGATGTGGGCCAGACTTTCATGCTTCTAACGTTACCATTTCCTCCTTTGTAATTAACAGTTGCTTTTAGAGAAATGCTTTAAAGCTATGCAAATATCCTCTTTCTCAAAATTTCCTGTACCAATTTTAGCATCCTCCATGGATCTTGCCAGTAAAATTTATTATGGTGCTATTTTAATGGTGACTTTTAATTTCCCTAATTTTGGCTTATTTTATATACTATGAACTACACATTTGATATTCCCTCTACTTTTGTTATTTTATGTCTTTCATCTTTAAAAAGTCAACTAAATATAAATAGCCATCAATAGTAATTTAATCTGTTCTTTAGAGTTTGCAAAGTACAGTAAAATGATTTAACTTTACCTGATCTGAGTTCATAAAAACCATAAAGATGAGTTTCCTATTTTGCAGAGTTCCTTGATAGTTTTGGAGGTAAGATCTTTTTGTTTTTTCCCCCAGTACCGGGAATCGAACTCATGACCTTGCACTTGCCAGGCAGGCGCTGTGCCGCTGAGCTAAAATCCCCAGCCTGGTGGTAAAATCTTATTAAAGGCTTAAGTGAGAAAGAAAATCAGAAAGTTGCTATGTAAATGTTTTGTTAAAATCGGTACAGGAAGTTTGAGGAGCACAAGTAGTTGTTCTTAAATTCCACTTTGTCTGGAAAGTGTTCTGAGACTACCTTTTATTTTCTTCAAAGTGTTTTGGTACCCAGTGAGGCACATTTGCGTTTAACCAGCGCTCCTGACAGGCTATTTGAACATCTGCCGATGTGTTTTCACTAAAGTACACATTCTGATTTGCGTGTTATCAGAATTTCTTCTCATTCCACCCTCAACCCCGTTTTCTTTCTGAATTACACTCACTCTGTTTCTCAGACATATGGTCTCTAGATATCAGTGCTACCCAAGGATGAAAGTAAAATGTTATATCACAGAAGAGGTCAGTGGAATGTTTCTCAGAAGGAGATGCTGGAGATAAATGCTGTCCATTGAAGCAGTAGATATTACATTGTATGTGAGCCTCTTTGGATGGAAATATGACATCAAACATGTCCTTAACTAGTGTAGGAATTAACCTTTCGTTCATGACGGTAGCCCAAAGGTGACATGGTTTAAGGTATGATACTAAACACATCTTTCACACATGTAAGTTCGCTTGCCCTAATAGTAAGTAGTCTACGTGGGCATAATGCTTTACTGACTTCACAGTTCAGATTATTATTCATTGTTTTGTTACTTCAGCCTTATTTCCAGCCAGCCCTGAAAGTGCACAATGGAGCTTTTCTTCTATTATTACTTTTAACACGCTTTATAAATCACTTTTTATTAGATAACCAAGCTTGTGTAGTTCAAAGAACTATAATCTTTTGTTAAGCTTTTGTTTTGATTTCTTTGAAAGATTTTAAAAATTTGTTTCTTTTAGTTTCTTGCTGGGTCCGAGTTACTAGAATTTGTTAGTGTTTGATAATGTATCATTCCCACATGAAGATTCACATATCTATTTCTTTTGAATCCTGGAGGCTATGTATCAAAACAAAATAATATTGTATCCAAAAGCTTCAAATTTCTTTATTTTCTAAAATGGGGTGTAAAGGAAATAGATTCTTTCTCTATATGTTCATTTTCTTTATTAGGGGTTCATGACGTGTACTTTGAGTATCAAAAGTGTTGTATCATTCTCCCATAAGTGAGTTAAACTACCTATTTGGCAGGCAGTAAGGGCCCTGTAATTCCAAGGGGGGAACATACACGAAGCCACACGGAGAGCAGGCTGAGTGGCTCGTGTTTCTCTTAAACACTGATTAAATCTATGTACTCCTCTTCCACCCCGTAGCTGAATAGATGATGAGTTTGCACAAAGCCAGCACAAAGGACAGGAAGGAGAAGCTGGAGACCAATGATAAAGCAGTGTGTAGTCATTTTTTAACTGTCAGACACATACAATTTACAATACTTGACTATTTTAGTTATTCTAAGTTGTGGTACTGATTATCCTTTAGGTCTAAAGATAAATCCTTATGTTAAACTTTGTGGTTAGCCACAAAATTTTCTTTTGTACATCTGTAATGTATAAGGAAAAAAATCCTTTTGAAGTTTCCAGTTCTGCCTGCGTTTGTGAGCAATCGATATAGAAAACACCAGTGCATGTGCCTGTCCACCAAGGGGCCCCATGTGCTTGTGTTCTTTGTAGATCGTTAGAGAAATCTGACCGGTGCTAGAAAAAAAATTAAATAGCCAAAAATCACACAATAATTAATAGTATACTATTTGGTCCCTCGTTTCTCTTCCCTTCACTACTATACTTTAAAACATTTTTACAAAAGCTAGGTATGGTGCCGTATGCCTGTAATCCCAGTATTCTGGGAAGCTGAGGCAGGATTGCAAGTCCAAGCCCAGCTTGGGCAGCATGGTGATTTAGCTAGACCCTGACTTAAAATCTAAAAAGGGCTGGCGATGTAGCCAGTCTGGATGCCCTTACTACCAACAGAAGCATTTTTTTTTCATGTACTAGTCAAAGCTAATATGGGAGAGGCTGGGCTTCAACCCATATTTAAGTGACAAGAGACGAAAGACAACACAGAAGAGAGATGCAGTGAATGAAGGAAGGCTAAACTTTCTTTCTGTGGATTTTTTTGAGGTCGGGGCTCGAAGAGTTCCTGCGCCAGTCTGCCGCTGCAGTGGCCATTTGGTGATTAGTCACGCACTCCTGTCTCCTGCTGACTGTTGATGGGGGTGGGGAGGGCCCAGCAGAGCTCAGGCGTGGAAGAGTAGCCCCAAACCACGCAGCTGGAAAATGAGAGAGCCAGGCTTGTTGCTCAGCCTCCTCCCAAAGCTGTGCTTTTGACCCGTGATTCCAGTTTCATACCGTTATCCCATCTATGGTGGGTTTATTGTTTGCCTGCCTTCAGCTGATGCTAGGTTTCCTGAGAGCAGGGGCGGTGTTGCTGTGACCCTTGCAGCAGTCCGCAGTAGCAGCTTTCACAGAGAAGGTGCTCTAAACGTGGAGTTTGGATTTAGTGTTTTCTTCTCCAAGCATTTCTCTTCTGTCTTAATAGAACACACACAGAAAGGGTGTCTTGGATACTTTCCTCTCATTGCTGGGACAAAATACTCAACACCCAAAGTTAAGGAAGGAAAGTTTATTTAGCTCTCCGTTTGTGGAGATTTCGGCCTGTAATCAGCTGGCCCCAAGGCGGAGTGGCCTGGCACAGGGGCAACACTTCAAGGCGGCAGAAGGCAGCAAAAGCAGCAAGAGCAAAAAGGAGGGAAGGGAAAGCCTTTGTTCCACCCTTACATTGTAAGCAGGCCACCTGCCCTCGGGTGGGTGTACAGCGCTCACACCATCCCGGTGCCCTCCTCTTGCACAGGCTCAGGATGTTTACAAAGTGAGGATCCCGGCCCCTGCTGAGTCAACTTAGTTAGCCTTTTAAACTTCTCAAGCTGAGACAATGAACAACATCCTAGAGGGGTAAGGGCATGTCCTCTACTCACTAGGATGTAGAACTACTGAGTTACTTAGTTCAGCCTCTGGACTTCCCAAGTTGACACAGTGTATCAACCATAACAGAGGGGAAACTATGAATGGATATCAGTAATTTACCAGAGAAACTTTGTTACCACTTGACAGACCTTCACTAATAGGATCCCTTCCCCATTCCGCTTAGAAGCTATGCTTTTGCCCTCCAAGGCACCTAATCTAGGTGACAGTGTTGTCCCCACGCTGTGTCACGGTCTTCAAACCAGTGGGTTGATACCAGGGCTCCTAAGTGGTCCAAATAAAGCGGTTTTCATTCTACCAGCCCTGTACAAACACGATCTACCTTCTCACTGTGGAAGACAGATTTCACTACAGCAGTCATTCAAGTTGACCAAGAAAGCAGGATCCAAAGAATACGTACCAAGATTCTTTCCTCTGTGTGGCTTTGCTTTTGGAAAGGGGGCAATTTTTAATCCCTTAATCCTTTGCATCGTGTTCTTAGTAACTAGACCTTAGAATTTTTCACTTGAGTTTTATTAATTGCTTTCTTTAACTACTAACAGCCTTTTAGGGTTAAAACCATAATGTTCATTTAATTTCTTTCAATATGATGATGTACATCCTGAGCCGGGTGAGGTAATGCACACCTGTAATCCCAGGACTCATGAGGCTGAGGCAGGAGGATCGCGGTCAATTTGAGTCCAGCCTGGCTATTTCATGAGTATTCAGTGATGGGCTCCAGCAGTGCCCCTTTAGGAAACAAACCCTTGTCCACCCTCACCTGGCTTTGACACTTTTGGAGACAGGGTCAGGCAGGTCTGCAGGCTCGGCTGCTTGACCTTTTCTCAAGGCCTCACCTTGTTCTCAGGTCGCCGGGTCACGGAGGCTCCAGGGGTTCATGAGCTATAGGTCTGAAGTGGCCTGGCCTCTGCCACTGCCGCAGTGGCCCGTCTCAGTCTGAACCAGTGGGCACAGATGTGGAGCTGCTGGGATCTAAGACCGGGAGGACACCCGGGAGCAAGGACACCAAGGGACGTGGGCAGAGAGCGAGGCTCCGGGAAGGACCCCTGTTGCGCCAGGCTCTGGATTTGCCCTGCCAGCTCCTGGTCCCACTCTGTCACCTCTGCGCGCTCCTTCGGGGCACCCTGGGGGGCGTCGCTGGGAAGACCCAGGGTGCAGAGGAGGGTGGAGGAGGCTGCCGAGGGGCGTGGCATTTCCCAGCGTCCTTTCCAACGCCAGGCCCTTATCTGACCAGGGCGGCGGAGGGAGTCCTGGAAACAGCTCGCGGCGATTCGCACTGGCATCTCAGAGAGAAACACGGCCTGGCCTCGCTAGGGCAATTCATGGGGAAAGAGCCGAACGAAGTTTCCGCAGATTCCACTTGGAAAAGGATTTCGGCCAGCGGAGCTCCTCTCCCTCCTCACCTACCCAGCTCTGCGATTCCCAGGCGGGCTTGGCCATTGTGGGCTATAAAATCTGCTCTGCCAGTTGCTGGCAGCATGGCGTTGGGAGAAGCCACTGAACTGTGTGTCCTGAGCTGTGTCACGCCCACGAGGCAGACAGTGGGTGCCAGCTGGAGCTGCAGGACTCACTGCTTACCAGAAGCCCAAACGGAAGGGTCTGATTATGGCACCCCTAAACAAACACGGTCCTCCTTACCAAAAATTAGCTCCACGCCTCTTAAGAATTCATCAGGGTGCTTTGCTACTAAAGGGCTTTTGCAGTGTGTAGTAAAAGAGGAATTCTTTCTCTGTGTGTGACTGCAGTTACCTGTGATCTTGAGAGGCTGAGGCAGGAGGATCTAAGAATTTGAGGCTATGCTGGGCTATATAAAGAGTTCCAGGGCCGCTAGAGAGGCTTTGTCTCAAAACAAAACAAAACAAAAAAACACAAAAAGATGCGTCCTCTCCAGCGACCCCACCCTCCCCCTGGTGTGTCCTCCTGTCTGTGACGCGCTCCCACGCCCTGCTGGGACCAGTTCGCTCCGTGCTCTTTTAACCCGGTCCAAGAGCTGCTGGCTTAAGACCCATGAAACCAGTTGTCATCTTGTAGCTGTGTGCTGCCGCAGTGTCGGGGTCTCCTCTGCTTACCCCTCCGCGGCGCCAGAGGTGGCAGGCCGGAGGTGGAGGGTCGGCAGGGAAGGCTCCCGAGTCCCTTCCGGTACAGACGCGGGCTGCGGATGCGGTGGAGAGGCGATGGGTACTGCGTGGAAGCCTAGCAATTGAGCTGGTGCGGAGAGGTGATGAAACGCAGACGGGAGCCCGGAACGTGATGGGATTTGGTCTGGGGCCGTCGGTGTCTGAAGCTGGGAGTCCCGGGGTGCGGGTCAGGCGGGACACTGATCTGTGGGCTCCCCGGAGATGATGGTGAAGTGGCCGTGCCCAGCGGACAGAGCACTCCTGCCCAGAAGTTTCTGTTTGCTTTTCAAACGCCTTATTCCCGGGAGGCCTCGGTCGTGGGGACAGGGACGAGCGCGGCCCGGCACAGACCTGGGCGCTGGGCGGAAGGGCGCCGCAGCAGGGGAGCCCGCGCTGCGACTGCGAAGTGGAGGGAGGAGCTGCTGCAGCGGCACGTGAGAGGAGGCGGGCGGGAGGGGGAGCTTCGAGAACCCCCAGAGAACTGGAAGCTCCAGTAAAGGTGAAGGATCGAACCGGCGTTTCTAAACCTCAGGGCTCAGACACCAGCCACGCTTTGAGGACGCACGGGCTGGGGTGCGGGGTGACGGGGTGACCCGGGTTCCCTGCTCAGATGCGGCCGTCCGTGTCACCGCCCTCAGCAGGGATTGATGCCGCCCCCAGAAGATGGATCCGCTGGCTCTCCGGGGCAGGCTGCTGCAAAGCAAGGCGCCCACGCGCTTGGCCTCCTTTTCCTCTTCTCTGCCCTGCGTGACGCTGCCAGGAGGCGCCCACCAGGACGCGGGTGCCGTGCTGTTTGGACGCTCCAGCCACCAGAATCATGGCCTCTGAAATCTCTCTTGCTTATACAATGCTCCCTCTCTAGCGTTTTGTTACAGCAACAACTCAAGCTGGGCTAAGACAGCAGTTTTGCTCGTAGGATGAAACGGTACCCTTGGCCCCACAGGAGTACGGCAGCATTGCCAGGACAAGAGCAGGGTCGATTTTAGTCACTGCAGACGCCTTAACTACCTTCCCCCTTCCACCATCCAGAGGTTTCACGCGAACTGGAGCCTTAACAAATGGTTACTGAGTAATCCCGAGGGGCTGGAATGTGGATGTGCGCCCCTCCGTGGGCTCTGGAAGGGGAGCATGGCCTCCTCGACGAAGTCTGCCCCTAGAGCAAGGCTCCGCTGAATCCGCCTGTACTCCGTGCTGACTAACGGGTGAGCGTCAAAGCTGGGAGCAGCTGTATGCACCCACACCTGGAAAGAGGTTCGACACGTGAAAGAAGGCCAGGGGATACAGCTCAGTGGCGCTGCGCCTGCCTGGCAAGCACGAGGTCCTGGGTTCGATTCCCGGTATGAAAAAAATAAAAAGAAAGAAAGTGCAGCTCAGGGAGGTATGTGACAGAGGGTGAACATCCCCCGCCGAGTGCCATAGACATTAAATTTCGACTAAGGATTGCACCACTCATTAAAACAGGAGACAAACGCTCTAGTTTTCCCAGAGAAAGTGGAATTGAGCGAGCATCGAGTGACCCTCTTAATGCCACACATAGTTACCAGTGAGAACAGACGGCTGTGCTAAGGGTGGGCTTCAGCTACAGCCAAAGTCGGAGTGCCCTGAGGACAGGCCCTGTGCTGTCAGCTCCATGAGAGCTCTGCCTGGCGGCCCAGAGTGGGTACTCGGTACTTGGATGGTTGAAGGAAGGGAGGGAGGGAGGAAGGAAGAAAGGAAGGAAGGAGGAGAAGGGGGCAGTGTGTGAGGAACTCCGGAAGAGCAGAACGGTACCAGCCGCCAGGTCACGTGGTGTGAGGAGCTTACGGCCTTCCTCTCGGTGGATGAGGGGGCGCGAGGTAGCCGGGGGATCCTGCATTGGGAGAACGATTGTGGTAACGACCCAGTGCGTGACAGCAGGAGGCCACGGTTGCTGCTGGCACTGGGGTCCTGAGAGGGGCACCTGGCGACCCAGGCTGGAACCATTTAAGGAGCACAGTGTGATGATTGCTGACCCCTGTAGGTGCCATCCAGATAGGTATAGGACATGTGCTCGACTCAGCCAGTTCCAAGTTCCTCTCCAGTCCGTGCCCCCCGCTGGCAGGCAGTGTATTTCGGACCTTTGTCACCCTAGGTTAGTGTTACCTCTTCTTAGAGGAGCTGTAAAGAGAACGTGAAAGCCGCATGACCTCGTCTGGCTTCTGCTCCGTTGCCATGGTCTTTGGGATGGGAAGGCATCCTTCCATGAGAGCTTGAAGGTGGCCGCCGGGTGCCCGGACAGTCTGCTCGTTTTCCTTCATGGGACTGCACTGGGCCGTCCTGCCGCCTCGCGGGACTGGTTGTGGCTGGAGGAGGAGTTGACAAGGAAGTGAGTTCGCATGAAAACCCATCACAGTGCCCGAAAATTGGACGCTCTGTCCTCCTCTCGGGATGCTGGATCTGGAGGCATCTCTCCGTGGCAGACACAGGCAGAATCGGGCTGTAGTCAAGTTTCTTTTTCTGCCTGTCCAATTTGCTCGGGCTTCCGGGAGCCTCTCTGTTGTCCCTGTAGTGCCCAGGTGGGGATTTTTTGATTCTTACCAAGAAACTATCTGCTTCAGCGTTTAAGGGTTTGAGGTATTTTGCTTTTCTACAGCATATATGTACTTTGGTTTTTAAACCTCTCATGGTGAAACTCCAGGTTTTAATCAGGGAATAGAGAAGGGTTATTTAGGTGGAAGTCACCCTCCTCCACACATATGATTTAGAACAAGGATTGGTGATGTTTTTCTGCAAAGATCAGTGTTTTGCACTTTGCTGGTTGTTTGGTCTCTATTGCAGCCCTGCTCTTTCTAATTCAAAAGCACCCAGACACAGTGGGTAAACAGATGTGTGTCCTAATAAAACTTTATTTATATAAACAAGTAGAAGGCTGGATTTGGCCCCGACCATAGTTTCCAGCCCATGGGTGAGGCAGCTGCCTGCTCTACTGGCCCCTGAAGCTTGCAGAGCAAAAATACCCAGAGCTAGTCCTCCAGAATTCGGAAAGCTAAGGGACCCGGGCTAGGCTGGTGCAACCTCTCCCCCACATCGTAAGTGACCGCAAGGAATCTGGGAGTAGGAATTCTTCAGCTCACAGACAGCGCAGATGGTTCAGTTCCCTGAGCCTTTTGCAGTGTTCGCCCTGCCCCGCTTTGCTGGGTTCAAGTCACAATAACTAAGTTACTTTCAGATTGAGATGTGGAGAAACTATCTTAGCTCATGTATTTTAAAAGAAGGAGAGAGAAAGCCAGAGATAAAGAGAAAAGCAGATACAGGGTGAGCCAAGAAAGGATAGGAGTTATACAGTTAGCAAGTAGATTAATCATGGGGAGTATTATATTGTCTTTGTCCAAATTGTTGCTTTAAAATTATACATGTATGAGACAACTAAATAATAAGGACTGTTTGTTGTTGTTGTTGTTTTGGGGTTTTCTTGTCTTTCTCAGACAGGGTCTCACTATGCAATTCATGCTGGCCTTGAGCTCACTTTGTAGCCCAGACTGGTCTCGAACTCACAATGATCCTCCTGCCTCAGCCTCCCAAGTGCTGGGATTATAGGCATGTGCCACCATGCCCGGCTCTAGCAAGGAGATTTTTAAGTGAGAAAATAGAGACCTCTAAATTCTCCGATATTCAGTTCATTCATCCATTTGTTCATTTTAATTGTTGAGTTAGCAAGCATTCCCTGGGTATCTCCTCTTGAAGATACTGAAAGACCAAAGCTAGAGATGTGAGTTCTGTAAACCAGGAGCTCAGCCTGCAGCCCCAGCGGCGGGAACTGTGCTGTGTCCGAGGAACAGCCTCCTGGAGGAGGCCAGGGTCTGTGTGGAGGAGGAGCTTGGGCATTTGCGCTTGGAGTGGGGCGTGTGGACCGGCTGTGAGGTGAAGCCTGTCTGGAGGGGTGGAGGGCAGGGAAGGCTGTGAGAAGGGCCGTAATTCAGACTGGAGGAGCCCAGGGAGTCGGGGGAGAAGGAGTAGATTCTGTAGATTTGGCAGAATTTTAGGTACAGGATAAGGTTGCCTGAATAGAAGAGATGACCATTAAACACCCAAAGCAGTTAAAATAAATTAATAAAATTGCCTCACTTAGGGGGCATGTCTTCTTATCTTTATAGATACCATAAACTGCCAGAGTAAAGCATTTTTAAGCAATTAGACTTCAGCAAAACCTTTGTTCTTTTAGAATTCTTAAAGAGTATATTCCTCCCTCCTGTCCCACTCAAAAAAAAAAAAAAACTCCCCCAAAACCACCTAGATAACTGACAGGAACTAGTTTGTATCTGGGAAGTAGCTGGCTCCCTAGCAGCTCGCATAGCTAATCATAAA